TAGGCGGGACATGAGTTAATTTGCTTCGCCTACAAGAGAAGTTTTAAACGTGATACTGAAATGAAATAAGACAGAAGAATCTATGTTCTCCAGATTTATGTCTGTGTGATTTGAGTCTCTTCTGTGCTTTAAAGAATCGATCATAAATTAGCGTCTCCTACTGTCGAATCTTTTAAACAGTCCATCGATAATGGAGTTAATTATAATAATGAAGATCGTTACTGGATTTTTTTCGTTGCCCAAATTTTATAGGGTGTATAAGGCAACCCATATTTTCTTAGTACCTCATTGAGCTTTTGTTGAAGTATAAAGAAGCGCGACAGTTATCTCATTTGTCTGCCACAGTTTTGCTTGCCTCAAGCATCTTTAATAACAAAAAAACTAAAATTAAGTTGCGATTCATAAAACTCATTGCATTGACTTATATCACACACCACTTTGCGAGTATATGGGCCAGGAGCAGTGGGATTACATGGGTTACTTATTTCAAGCATATATGTAACCAGATGGCATCGATGCTAGTTTTAGAGAGCGTTTTTTTATAAATCATAAAATGAAGTGGCCTTAAAGTACAAATGAGTTTAATAGGATTGCGTATATATCATGTTGAACTAAAGTAACAGGTTTTCGCATTCGTTTTATTGCATGTCGTTACCGTCAACGACGTGTTACATATGGTCACTTCTGAAAGAAATTCAAACAACTTTATTGGCATAACACATTGTTCGCGTAAAAAAGTATTGTCAACATATGCACCACTCGGCGGATGGTCACAATCATGTATTAGAGTTTACTATTGATAACTATTTACGATAAAACCACGCATAAGCACGATAGTTATACAAGATTTAATGCCGTTAAGCTGGCTTTGAAAAACCGAAAATAATGTTACTGTTGCTCCTCAGCTCTCGCACAAAATGCAACTGTTGTTGTTAGTAACTGGGCCGTTAAAAACCCGGCTTTCAACTGCGTTCAGAACTTTATGTTGACCTATAGTAGACGAATCATAATATTTGATCTGCCTAACAGTAAAGTATTATAAAGTATCGTATATACAGTTACAGTCCTTATCACTTTGCTTTTAATTTAGTTGAATGACTAACTTCTTTGTGTGAAATCATGGGTAACCTACATGCCCCCATTTCCGATATAAAGAACTCTACCTTTTGAGGTTATATGAATTAACAACACAAGTGCCTTTAATTGATATTTTTTCGGTAGTAAGTTAACCGCAGAACGCCAGTTCACATCACGTAATGGAAAAAACTGGTACCATTTGTTTCTGCCCCGTGGTTTGCCTTATGTATCAAGCTATACGAGAAATGTACAGTACCGAAAACATTTAGATATGTACTGACGTAGTTGAGGAACGGATAATTAGGTTCTGACATTGTTAAAGTCAGATTGCTACCCTACATGTCTTTGTCGCACGATTTTCATATATGACCTATTTAAGCAGCCAAATTCGTATCTGTCTCTGAGTCTCCAATCTGACTAATTTTTTAAATGTAAGTAAGTCTCATCGTAGTATTAGTACCTTTCTTTTTCTTTTAACTAGGTTCTGCTTTGTCTGATTATCGTAACAAAGAAAAGCAATTGAAAGCATGACTAAATTTTTTTTTATTCGTCGCTTTAGGCAATCAATCCAGTGAAATCAAGTAGTCAGTTTTTCGAATACCAAAATAGTTAGGCCAAAATTAATTTCTTTACTAAGTTTTATTAATAAAGTTACGATTTGTATCTGCTTCGAAAGACACGACAACAACATACATTACACGATCATGATTAAATGAAGAAGCAGTTTGTTTTACTTAGTATTACACTAGAATTTATTCTTCATTATTAAGTTCAGTAATAGTTTTCAATAAAAGTTGTAAGTTCCGGCATCTATTCAAACTGACTCTGTAAGAAGCATTTTCACAAAGATGAATACGTTGAACAAGTACGTCTACTCGTTGCATCTACATGCCTACGTAATTGAAGTATCTTGCATTGCTGTAAATAAAAATATGTATAGATTTCCACATGTAGCCCTCAGCAACTACGTACTGTCACTCCTGCGCGTACGTTTTTTTCTCTCAATTTATTTGGCTAACTGAAATATTGTATTCATATTTCTCCATTACCTAATAACTATTTTGCACTAAACGCCACAAGTAAATATTTAAATGTCCATTACTATTGTTTTTTGATCAATCATGAAAAAAGATTTAGCCACAATGAAATATGGTGAATATACTTGCAAATAATAGTCGTCTAATAAACCATTTCTATCAATAGGATGGCTCTCAGACAATTTTTCTATAAAGAAAAGATAGGAAATTGAAATTTGGAAGCTGGTAACATTCATGAGAAGTTTAGTTACATTAGTACATGTCCCTTCAGATTTCCGACAACGTATGTTATGAAACGCATTGCCCTTTTATATGCGGGCTTGAACTGAAATTTTTTCTTCAAATCCAAAGTTGTTCCTAAGCCTATTTAAGTAAAAACAAGCATTTCAACGGAATTCTCTGAATATGCAAAAAGTGTCATTTCAGTGTCATGGCCACGTTTATTCAGTCCAGTCTACGTTCGCCTTGATTAAATCGTCAATTTAGGATTTAAACCACTCATTATTTTAAGTTCATAAATAATGATTAATAGTAACTGTGCCGCCAGCGATAGATTTACTAAGGTGACGCCCCAAATCGCGCAAAAAATTTAAAAAATATGAACTGTTGTAGATCATATGGATAAGCCAATTTTTGTATCAAAATCATTACACTGAACGAATTTTCAATCCGTTTAAGATGGTTGTTTTCCCGAATTTTACATCTGATTGTTAAGCAGTTAAAAATTACTTCAGACGGCTGGCTCCCACCATGAAACGAAGTATGTGTACGCCTGGATTCGCACCTGGACCACCACGTCGCTTTAAGGTGAGCAGGCAAACAAGTTATCCACTGCGTTATCATAAATCCTCGCTTTCTACCTAACATGTAAATCTTCGGATTTTTTGGAAGCTGTGTGGAAACTGGCGATAAAATAGAGCTCCCATTTCAGAC